ACTCACTGTCCTCCCTGTACTCACTGTCCCCTCACTGTCCTCACTGTACTCACTGTCCTCACTGTCCTCACTGTACTCAATGTACTCAATGTACTCACTGTACTCACTGTCCTCCCTGTACTCACTGCCCTCACTGTCCTCCCTGTACTCACTGTCCTCACTGTACTCACTGTCCTCCCTGTACTCACTGTACTCACTGTCCTCACTGTACTCACTGTCCTCCCTGTACTCACTGTCCTCCCTGTCCTCCCTGTACTCACTGTACTCACTGTACTCACTGTCCCCTCACTGTCCTCACTGTACTCACTGTACTCACTGTCCCCTCACTGTACTCACTGTCCTCACTGTCCTCACTGTCCCCTCACTGTACTCCCTGTCCTCACTGTCCTCACTGTACTCAATGTACTCACTGTACTCACTGTACTCACTGTCCTCACTGTCCCCTCACTGTCCTCACTGTACTCAATGTACTCACTGTACTCACTGTACTCAATGTACTCACTGTCCTTGTCGTCCTCTTATTGTTTTGTTTGTGTTGTGTCTTTTGTCTCGCAATTTGAAAGACACGTGTTTTGTGAACATTAATCATTCCCAGGCACCAATAAGCATGTCAATACCAGTGTTCATATTGCAGAAATATTATTTTATTAATGATTATCCATGAAATCCTAAAAAGAAGAAAGTTCACATAGTAGAATGTGGTGACGCTGACAAAGAGCTATACATATATATATGTTGAACTATAAATACTAAAACCTGCAAAGAACCGGTCCCAGGTTAAGTCCCAATGTGTCGGTAAGGTTTCAGTCCAGCGTGAAGCAGTATGATCAGCGTCTCCTGCGGCGCGATGGTTTGGACGTTGTCCCCGCCACGCACTCTGCTTTGCTGCAGCGGCACGTCTCCACCACGATGTAGCTGTGCTGGACCTTGGAGCCGTTGGCGCAGGTCAGCTCCACCTGCTTCTGACTGGTGGTGGCCTCTTGGCAACATTCACACTGGTGCATCATCATGTTAGCTGCTGCAGAATATCTGTACACACACACACACACACACACACACACACACACACACACACACACAGACAGCAGCTCTTATCCTCTCCACTGATTACAACAGCTCAGTAGCCAGTGACCCACCTTTAGCACACACACACATGAAGGCTTTAGCTGATTAAGTTGAAAGTGTGATGCTAAATAGACTCACATGGACGAGCTTCCACATTGTCCAGCGCAGGACGTCATGTTGACCGGCTGCGTGCTCTTGCAGTCATTCACCTCGATGACGGTCTGCTCACTCTGGACCTCACAGATGCTCCGCAGCTTGCCTGGAACACACAGCAACCGTTAGCTTCTCACAATGCAACAGATTTGTTCCTGATGTTGGATTCACTATTAAACACTGTGACTCCACTGACTTACAGGTTGTGCAGCATCCATTAGCGTCTGTTGTCTCGGAACCCTGAAAGATAAAAACACATTTAATGTATGTTGTGGGTCAGACAGACAGTTTGGGAGGGGGGGGGGGGGGAATAAACTCACAGGTTCACAGTCCAAGGGGTTAAAGGGGGGGCAAATTGTCTTGGTCTCCTTGGTAACAAGCTGTCCATTGATGTTCTCACATGTATATTGCACACACTTGTCATTAGGTGGTACAAATGTGTTGTTGACCTGTACCGAAAGGAAGAGCAGAAGTTAAGTCAGATTCGTCATTTTTCAAAATAAGGTTAGTCTTATTCTTTGCTTTATATCAAATAAATATGTATTTTTCTCTTTCTCTAACATTCATTAACAAATATCTACATTGTCAATAGCTAAACAAGAACTATCTCGCTACAGCAAGCAAATTCTGGCCATTAAAAATGTGAGGAAACTCCCACAGCGGCAGTACTGACCTCAATGATGTACGTTGTGTTCTCAGGTGTGGTGAAAATACAGCTCTTCTGAACACAGCGACCGCAGCACTTGTCAGCTACAGTCTGATATTCATAACCCTGAGACAGAGTGAGAGAGAGTGAGGGAGAGATAATGAAGAGAAAAAACCTCCTTTGTCTTTGTAAGAAGCTGCTGGGGGGGGGTTGTGCACTTGAGTGTCCTCCATGTTAAGCTATTTTTTGTTTTCAACATTTTCATGGATAGACCATAAATGTAGTGGAACTTTCTGAAAAGCTGGAACATGATACTGGGATATTCTGGTCATATTTTCAGGTATATGAAAATATACACTTTACTGAACGGTGTATTTAAACACCTCATCCCATATACCAAAGAAAAAGATTAAGCTTTGATGAACTCTTCGACTCAAAGAATCATTTACTGCCCGCGCATTTTTGTGAAAACAACAAGGTGCTGAAGTTGTGTTGGTCAGTACGGTGAGCGACAGCAGTTTATCTGAGACTGTGGGCAAAAGATGCTCATAAAAGAAATACAAGAATCAATTATACTGCTTCATACTGAGAGGTATTGCTCATGTTTGGTCCACCACTTTTAGATACATGAGTCCAGTACTGAAGAGTCCAGTGCAACTACTGAAACTAACTACACCATGCATCAGCTGCTACAGTTGCACCACAGAAAGCTGCCTCTGGGTGTCAATGTATCCCAGTGAATGTGTGTGTGTGTTGGTATGTCCTGTGAATGAGCTTACTCTGGAGCAGTTTGTGTTGCAGACAATAGGTTTGCAAGTAATGATGTTTAGCTTGGTGATGGGATCCATTGTGGGGCCACAGTAACAGTCCTGGCAGGGTTTGGGTTTAAAAGACTCCTCTGTTAAAGGTCCCGATCTTGTTTCTCCTGCTCCTGATGGTGCCGTTGTGGTCCCTGACGGTTGTTCTGGTGTTACTGGTGCTTCTAGTGGTGGTTCTGATGGTGTTTCTGGTGTTGGTATCTTGGAACCAGGCTATAAAATACACATGAATCAAAGCTTTACTTTTTCTTTCACACCTTAAATGAATTGTTCTGGACCAAGGGGAAAACAAGATCCACATTCATACAGATGCAACAAGATTGCTTCTTTCACAGTTAAGTGTGATCAGTGCATGTATTGTGTAAATGTAATACCAGTTTTGAATTCATGCTGATATCATATATTTATTATCACACAGTCTAGATCACAATTTGTTCAGAAACCACATCAAGAGGTCTTGGTGCAGCTGTTTAGTCCACAGTGTGAATGAATGAAGGTTCACACAAACACACACAAACAAAAGCACAGCACAAAAGAGTTCAAGCACCCTTCAGTTGCACTGGGGCTGCTCTGTCATCTAAGCTGTTTCATGCGGTTCAGACTAGGTGTGATGTGGCTGTTATTTGGTGCACAAACAAATGCAGGACCACTTCCAAGTAAAGTCTGGTTCGGTTTGTTTGTGGTGTGATCGCAAAGCGCACCAACCACAATGCTACATGTCACCTCTGCCACTTTACAACATCATGCGGTGACCTGATAACATCAACAGGAGCTCTGGGACTCTCTCTGATACATCCCAAAGTGAAAAGGGTTCAAACAGAAAGCTTGTGCTCATCTGTCTGTTTTGGATTGTTATTTGTCAGCAACTATCATTCTCGTCCTGTTTCTGTATGTCCGTCAATATTGATGACAGATTTGATGAGGGACAGTGCACATTAATAAAAACATTTCTGTAAATGCGCCAGAGTTAGCCAAGAGGCTATTTTTCATCTGTAGATGAGGTTCAGTTTCAGCTTCGACTGCTAATGCTGCTCATCACCTCTTTCTTTAGGAGGTTAAGATAGATTTTCCTCTGCTGGTCCATGTAGCACTGCTGTCCAGCGAATAAGTAACCTGTCCGTCCAGATGACCTCATGCTTTTAACTTAGTTCATTTGAATTAAGTTAGTGTGAATGTGAATCTGTTTTTTCCTTGGTCTGGCCAAAGAGAACTGAAGCGAGGAACAAAGGAACATTGGACAGTGGACATTAAAGAAGTGTTCTACCTCAGGGTGAAGACATCCTCACTGTGATTCACACCCATAATAGATGGCGTGTTGTTTGACTGATCAGGTAGGAGCTTTGTTGAATGTTGATATTTCCTGTATGTTCAAACCTGCAGAGGGACTCTGACGTTGTCACACACTGACTTTGATTCTAGTGAAGTAAAGTACCTGTGATTCAACCTGCTCTGCCTGTGTCTGTGTTTGAATCCTCCTCCCTTTTCTTCCTGAACTGTGACAGATGTATTGATATCTGGAGTCTGGACTGTGTCCTTACCTTGTACTCAGTCATGTTGTAGACACAAACACCTTTAGGAACTGCAAAACAAACAAGAGACATTAGTTAAGTTGACTATAGATCAGATGTGTGCTAAGCTAGGCTAATCTATCTCTGTACTTGATGCACAGAAACAAATCTTCAGAACAGATCTTCCATTAGTGTAATTCATGGAACAAGTGTTTGCTAAAGTCGAGTCACATACCACACGTGTAGGATTGACAGCAGGTGCTGCTGATGATGTTGAGTTGGAACCCCAGCGGACAGGTGATCGGAGTGGGACACAGGTTAACGTTGCACTCTGTTGGGAACAAAAGGACAGCGTAATGATGTAAATGTGGGGAGTTGCCTCAGACAACAAGTCAAAGAAGAATTAAAGCTGCGAGCAGCATTGATCGGGCCCTCGCAACTTCACGCACGTCGAGGGTACTAGCAGGACTCTGGCCATGCATTTCTGTGACCATCATACACTGCGTGCACGAGTTAAACGGTATTTCTTGGTACTGGCAGGACTCCGGGTGACGCAGCCATGCATTTCTGTGACCATCACACTGCGTGCACGAGTGAGATATTTCCTGCGTAGACCAGCAGTGTAGCAAGATCATGTTACCAGGTCTTAAGCCTCAAATGTTTTGAGTGTACCTCCGATACAATCATAAATGTAAGCCTTTAAAGATCATTAAGAAAATGAATGTGTGTGAATGTGCTTCAGTGTTTGTAACATAACAGACTGTCAGTTTACTGGGATGGGGTTCAACTCCCTGCAGTGTCCTGCTGATTGTATTTGGACTTACATGAAAGTTAACAAAACAGTAGTGCCATTTGCTGTTACTTGAACACTTTAATTTAACACTGTTTTCATTTTAAGTTCTTCTGTAACTTTAGATTGTAGTGTGAAGCATTCATTGTAACGTTTTACCTGATTGACATGAAGAAGCTCTGGACAGATCATTTATACTAATGCCCACGGACATGGTTTGAGAATCCACTGTTATCTAACTTTTGCTCTCCAAGCATCATAGTTTGCACATATTTAGATCAGAGAAGTCTTTTTCTCATGGTGTGCCCACAAACCCTTTCAATAAGGTCAGTGTTTGAGCCGCTGTATTTATAGAATCCTGCTTATGTCCGTGCTTATCAGTAGGTAGCGCTATGACAATGAGTTAATATTGGCATGCAGAAGTCCTAAAGCCATGACAGTCAACAAGCATGTCAAGTTTCGGACTGTTTTGACAAAGTACAGTCGAGTTACAACAGCTTGATGGATGATGGTGAACCATGTAAAATGGCCATCACACCATATCCACGTCATTCGATGAAACTTAAAGCTTTTAGTAACTTTTAATCGCTAAGGTCTTTAGATTGTTCTGACCAAATTCTAAGCTGATCGGATTAATTCCCTAGGAGGAGTTCGTAGTACAGCACCTGGAAATGGAAAAAAAACACGAGAAATTCATACAAAATTCAAAATGGCTGACTTCCAGTTGGGTTTAGAGCATGGTCCCAAGAGACTTTATTTTAAGTCCACATGTGATACATGTGCCTACCAAATTTTGTAAATCTATGTGAAACGTACAGCGAGGGCTGCTTCGTCGAAATTTTGTAGGGGGCGCTATTGAGCCGATTTGCCACTCTGAACCAATAAAATCATATTATATAACTACATCTTGGGCTTTAAATGTGTATGCCAAGTTTGCTTATGTTTCGAGCATTTCTAGCCTCTCAAAAACACATTAATGTTTCATGGTGAAGAATGCGTCGCCACGGCAACAGCTTTTCACGAAACAACAAGCTTTGAGTAACCTTTTCATCACAAAGGTCTTTAGACTGTACCGACCAAATTTGAAGTTGATCTGATTAATTCTCTAGGAGTTCGTTAAAGTGCAGCACCTGGAAATGACAAAAACGACACAAACAATTCATAAAAAATTCAAAATGGCTGACTTCCGGTTGGGTTTAGAGCATGGCCCCAAGAGACTTTTATTTAAGTCCATATGTAATACATGTTCCTACCAAATTGCATACATCTAGGTCAAACATACTGCGAGATCTGTTTCCTCGAAATTTTGTAGGGGGCGCTATTGAGCCGATTTGCCACTCTGAACCAATAAAATAATATTTTAGAACTACATTTCGGGCTTTTAATCTGCTTGCCAAGTTTGCTTATGTTCCGAGCATTTTTAGTCTCTCAAAATGACCTTCGTTGTTAACGGCGAAGACTGCATCGCCACGGCAACGGCGTTCGACGAAACATCAAAAGCTTCATGAACTGGTATTATGAACTTCTTACATTTGTGTGGAAGTAATTTGATGTTGATTTGATTTACCTACTGAGAGAAACAAGCCAAAGTATAATGACTTTAACTTCCTGTTACCAGTAGGTGGCGCTATGACTATGATTCATAATTGGCCTGCAGATGTCTTCAGGCTGGGAGTCTAATCAAACATGTGCAATCTGGTAAAGATCTGATGATGTGGAGTCGAGTTACATCAGTTTGTTCGTTCATGGTGAAGGATCGAAATTCGCCGAGCCGCCACGTCGCCGCCCTTCAACAACTTCTTACAATTTTCACAATGAAGCATTATCAAGGTCTTAAGGCTGTTCTGACAACATTTTAGAGGGATCTGATTAATCTGTGAGGAGCAGGATGTCAAAGTACACAACTTACAACTTCCAGTTGCCACTAGGTGGCGCTATTACTATGATTCTAAATTATTACATAGATTTATTCCGGGTCAGGATGTTATGACATATGAGAGATTTGGAGCAGATTAGACAATGTACGGCCGAGTTATAACAACTTCCTGTTTCGCAGCTAATGGTGTTTGTTTGACGCCAGGCCACGGACACATAGTTCAATAACTTTTTGATCTTTGAGTAACTTTTCACTGCCAAGGTCTCAAGAGCATACTGACCGAATCTGAAGTCGATCGGGTCAAATCTCTGGGAGGAGTTCGTTAAAGTACGACGCCTTGAAACGGTCCAAAAACATCATAAAATTCAAAATGGCCGACTTCCTGTTTGGTTTAATGAAAAACTCCAAGAGGATATTTTGTGCGTCTCATCACGTTCCACATACCTACCAAATTTCATACAGCTAGGTGAAACCCAATGTTGGGGCTACTCAATAGGGGGCGCTATCGAGCCAATGTTTCATATCGCAGTTGGACACCCCAATCAGACTGCAATTTTTCGCAAATTCTGGCTTGCGTGCCAAATTTCGACATTTTCCCAGTATCCCAAGCACCTCCTTTTTGCGAAGAAACACTAAGAATGAGAAGAATAATAATAATAAACAATCGAAAAACAATAGGTCCTCCTCTCCGACTACGTCGGTGCTCGGGCCCTAATAACAGCAGTTCTGCATGTTTAGATGATTCACTACAAGTTAGCTGGAGACTCTGCTGAAACCCAGGCTGTTCTTCAGGAAGGCCCTGCTTTGACACAGTTTGACACGTTCACACCTGGAAGCTGACTGATCTCGTTGTCACTGAGCCAGCTGGGCATTAAAGGCCTTGCTCTTAACTATTTAGCAGAAGGCAAAGGATGTTCAGTGTGAAACCTTTTCTACCAAACAGAAAATAATTCAAACCACCGGCTGCTTGCTGGTGGGAAAACATGTTAGTTTGCAAACAACACTGGTATGGTCCTCTAAAGGCCCAACAGCTACTGCTGGTGTTTACTTTACTCCAAACATCTACCCGTAAATACCTCAGAGCCGGTCCATAATGCTACTGTATGAGGGACAGGTCACTTCTAACCCTTCATCAGTAAACGTAAAGGTGACATAGCATGAGAGAACAAACAAACACAACATACATATACTGGTAGGTTCTCGCTTAAAAAGCGGTTGAGAACAATTGAAAGGTAAAATAAGACCCAATCTCCACCTGGTATTAACATTAAGCTGGATAGTGATATCTGATCACGGCCTTTGCAATGACAGTCTGGTAATGATAAGAGTCCTCATCATCTCTGTCCTCTTGACATCAGAAACTCTCCACAACTTCCATCGTTGGTCCCATGAGTAGAACTCTTTCTCCTGTTGTCTCATACGGCATACGACTTGAAGCAGTTCAGCATATTCGATGAAGTTACATTCTTTGTACCCACATGGTTGAATTCACTTATTATAAGTCGCTTTGGATAAAAGTGTCAGCTAAATAAGTGTAATATACTGAATATATTTCAGTATGTACATCAGGAAGCAATCACATTATGACGCTCTGATATGACTGTGCTGATTCTGATGTCTTCAGCTTGGTAATAAGTTCAGTCTCCTGCATCCGATTCAGTACAACCCATCCTCCTGTGAGCAGCGGCAATAGGATCGATGGCTTGGCTACCACCTGGCGTAGTCCATACTACCACTGAGCTGACAATGGTCCTGTCTCACACTTGTGAGGGGAGCTTCAGTGCAAACAGCTGATGATTCAGTATAGTCAGTTCAGTTTTAAAGATTCAGTCCTACATTCACTAAATACCTCAAATGATCTTAATATTCATTGAGGTGTTCAGATGGATATCAATCTTCTGTCTGTGAGATAAGTCTAAAACACTCCAATTAACACTTCCTGACTTGTGTGTTTAATCCACACACAGACAGAAAAGCAAATATTTCCCAAAATGTTGAACAATGACTTTAAGAATGTGTCAGAGATGAGAGCACCTCAGGCAGATCCAATAGCATTGAGATTGCAGTGTGCTGTGTGTACCTACACCTGCTTTAACGTGTCAGAGACAGATGACGTGTTAATATCAGGTGGAGATGAGATATACCATTACAAGTTCAAAAGCAATAGAAAGAAGGCCTTTGGGTTCATCTCTTCAGAGGCATGTTTTACTACCAACAACTATCACTTTGTGGCATCAAGGCTACAAAGTGACAGAATCACATGGAGTTCTGTGACACTGCAACTGACCGCAAGACTGTGTTGTGCAGCAGCCATCTGTCTTGTTGACCAGCTGCTGGCCAGGTTCGCTGCAGATGGGGATCTGTATAGTTGGGCACTGAACGGGCTGACACTGGATGCTCATGGAATCGTTGTCACACGTACAGGTGTTGCAGCCACTTGTCCATGTGTCACCAGGCTGTTTAAGAGACAGGAGCCAGTTCAGACACACAACTCATGCTTTGCTAGAGAATAGAATACATGCGACAGGCAGAGTTCTCACCTGTTTGGGTTTTCCATCAGGTCCGACACAATCTGAAATTCAAACAGAAACAAGTGTTTGTAGGATGAGTTGTGCTTCAAGCTAATGCTTTTGAGAAAAGTGAAGCTTTCTTTAGGATCTCATCTTACCGCAGGAGGCCACACATGTGTCATAGACTGTGTTGAATAAGATGGTGCCATGAGGACAGAAGCAACCCTCCTTAGTGTTGTTCGGGGATGCCTGGAACTTTTGGTTGAATCTGATGTCAGAAAAGAAATGATTGGTTATTACAGACACAACAGGGCTCACTATCTATCTATCCATCCTTCTCACACACTGACAGAACAAAACAATCTCCACTAAGGACATTCAACATCATTTCATCCAGGGAAGCGGAAATGTAAGCATTTAAATCCAGCAAGTGGTGTATAAATGTCAACATCTCTAAAACAAAAATAAATTCAAAAGATCAGATTATTGATTTATTGATTACCTGTCATTGCATGTAGGCTCTACAGTGGAGCCACAGGCCATGTACACCTTGTTACTTGGACACGTGAGCCCTGTAAGATGGAGATACGTTTATATACACATTTGTCAGAACTCCATGCAACACTTCTAGTTCTATAAACTATTAGCTATATATCTTACCACACTGCCCATTGGTTGCATTCCTCCAGTCGATACAGACTCCTGCATCAGAGCACTGAGTGGCATAGGCCTCCAGGCTGGTGCAGCCTGTGGCGTTGCCACTGTTGCAAATGTCAGACCTACAGGATGTCACAAATGCTCCTGGGGGTATGACTGTATTGCATGGTGCAAAAACACTAGAAGGAACATACAAGCCAGAACAGCATGTCAGGAAAAGTGACCAGAAAAATATGAACTTCATCTAAGACGTAACGGAAAGCAGTCCTGTAATTCAAAAATGTCAACAAATGATTATTGTCAACATTTTCATTGACAAAATTAAGACTAGAGAGCAATAAAATCGACCTACAACTTTCATTTTGTATTTGGTGAGATTTGTTCCGCTGATTTCATTAACTGTCAACAGTCTCCTTCATTCACTGTTACACTACATCGAGCTCTACCACATCATCCAGCTACAAGTCTACCATTGGACGATAAATTAAGCTGTTTCACATCCAAAACTGCATGCAGAAAAATGTCATAATACCCCAACATTCAAGGCTTCTGGGATAAAACATAACTACATCTAGATCTACATATAACTCTAGATGAGTAAATGTATCTTTTTGAGCTGAAAAGCTGATAACTTCTAAACCCTCAATTGATGATATGCTAGAATCCTATTCCACTCCAAGTTTGAGCTTTGTCCTAACTCTGAATAGAATCACGCAGACACTTTAATGTGGTTGTGATTACAAGCTAGCAGGATGGACGCACAATTAGCTTTATACTAAATAATTGTGCCTTAAAGCCTGAGAGAATGAAGACGTCAGTATTTTGTGGTTCCCTCACCTGCTGGTTAGGATATCACAAATGGCAGGTTTGCAAGCAGGCTGTGTTGGTGTTGTGTAAGGTGCTTTTGAAGTGGTCGTAGTTGTTGGGGTTGTGGGGGTGACACAGGGTGTACCTGGAACAATCCACTGGCCTGCAGTGACTGAGCAGCTTTCCACCTGGCCGTTAGGAGAACGACAGTCATTTTTCTGGGAGTTGTCACAGGTCCCTGAAAGAGAAGAGACAGGAGTCTGAAGCCAAAGCATTGGAGCTCATGCAAGAACCAGATCAACAGAGTTGTTGCTAAATAGAACGTACCAGCGATTTAAGAGAATTTGTTGTATTTAACACATTTCTCTGACAAAGAAAATGCACAAGTGTTCCGTTATTATTAATATGCATTGTCAAACTTAATATTCTGTTAACCATGTTATCATCATCATGACATGCCAATTTGCCTAAGATTGTTTTACTCTGAAAGTTCAGTCTTGTTGTAACATTCTCTCACTCCAACAGCTCATCTCATCCTCTGTTGAACCCGACAGTGTATCTACTGTTGGCTATAAGACTCTCTCTCCCGTCTCTTTGACAGCATCTCACACTAGTCATTGATGACTCTGACCTACAGAGATGTTCACTCGTTAGGTCTGTCAGAGTACAGCTCCTCTGCTGATTCCAGACAGCAGGACTTTAAGCTCCACAGTGTGAAATCCTTCCTTTGACTCTTTAGTAACATGTTTGTGACTGATCCTGCCCAAACATGGAACGCAACATGACGCCTTATATGGCAATTTTATTGAAATTGATAATGCTAATGGTCTCTCCAAGTTGCACATTGGTCTGAAACAAGTGATTTATGACTAGTTGGTGCAGTTAAGAGGTTAGGAGGAACACTTGTAAAAACATTTGAATACAAACAACTTCTAGCCCGTCGTCTCTTTCAGCAGTGCTACACTGTCCACTTGTTGACTTGAATTGAGACTTTAGTTTTGCCTTCTAGATCGAGCTGTACTACATATTACTTTAATCCTGTTGCTGAGGAATTATTAAGGGTTTTCCGGTTCTTCTGTTCATTCTGGTTGTTCCAGATCTGTGAATTGTTGTATTGACTATTTGAACTCTGCACTAAACATTCGGCCTATCCTACAGTAACTGCAGGCTGCCAGTGTCAGTAGGTGCAGCAGGCTGCTCTCAGTAGTGCCCTCTGGTTAGAAGTGGCATTGAAATGTTTCTCAGTTCTTTCACCCAAAGATTTGGTCACGTTACGTATCAAGTGGTCTGCTAACTCACCACACTGTCCCTCAGTGTTTCCACCAAAGAAGGAATAAGGAAGGTCAATGCTGAATGAGGAGGCCCTATAGACCACTTTTGTGTTGATCTCAGGTATCTCCAATGTGATCACCATATCTGTGCTCGTGAGGCGTAGGACAGAATTTGTGTAGGCGGGATAGATCCGTTTCTGATTCACATACACCTGTAGGACAAAGTGACAAAACACATTAGAGAAGACTGCGAAGCACAGCAGCTTTTCTAACTGTACAATGCACCACACCCACAATGCACCACACCACTTCATTAAGTACTCTCAAAATAATAAAGGAAGTGAGTTACTAACACTAAAACAATAAATGTCTGCTTGCTTACCACATTAGCTGCTGTTCCTGAAGTCTTCAACTGAGTCAAAACCACCTCGTAGGATCCGTACGTTACAATGAGAGCCTGGGGACAGAACGTGCTGTCTGAAGGATCGCAGTCATGGTTGTTTACTATTATAGTCAGGTTATATTTAGTGATAATCTCTTTGACCAGGTAGTAAGAGCAGTTCTCCTCAAAACTGTATGACTTTCCATCAAATGTCATGTAGTGGGATCCGGCCCAGCCACTGCACATACCTGCAGGATAAGAAGAACCATGAATGGAAACAAGAAGTATCAACTAGAAGAGGCAGAACACACAATCACCTCCAACAAGAAGGCTATGTTTGTTTATTGGCAAATAATATTGACAACAGTATTTTTCTTGGCTTAGTACATTTTTCTTGGTGTACAAAGCAACTAAATTGGTTTAGTTGCTTTAGTAACTGCTATTACTGAAGAAACTTAGAAGCTACTTAGTTGATAGTCTGGCCCTCAGTGCTCTCCAGTAAATAGTTCATTTTATTTTATATGAAGATATGTAAATAGTCTTAGCATATTGACACAAAATGCTCTGCTGCATTTAAAAGAAAAGAAGTGGTAGCCTGTCAGTAAAGGTTACCACTTACTACCACAGGTCAACTTACATTCACATTCATAGTGGAAGCAGCATCCGTCATCATCATAGACTTCAACAACTTTGCGTCCATTTGCACAGATGGGCTGTTGTACTGTGGGACAGGGAGTGTGTGTCTGTGTGATCGTGCCATTGGTGCAGGTAGCTATGGTGCAGTTGCTGACCTTCCAGGACTCTCCATTCTGGATGGGTATCGAGAAGCAGTAAGTCATACAGGAAACGATGTGTGTGTATAACATTAAAGTATAATTCAACAGATTTTTTGCATTATAGATTATAGTGCATGATTTCATTTGGCATAACAATGATTCATACAATAAACATGAGCACCGTAGTGCCATATATAAAATTAAAGTAGAATAAAAAATATGGTCTTATATTTTCCATGTGTTTTCGAAATTTCTAAAATCACTTTTAAAGTTTAAATCTGTTAGAGTTGATTGTTTTACATGCAAAACGTATCATGGACTATCTGGGAATTAAATAAATAGTTTCCTCTTTATTCTTCATATTACAACATAAATATAGTCCTGTTTATGATCCAGTGCTCTTTTGGCAGGTGGCTCCTTGCATGGTAGCCCCTGTCATCAGTGTATGAATGGGTGTGAATGGGTGAATGATGACATGTAGTGTTAAAACGCTTTAAGTGGTTGACTAGAAAAGCGCTATACAAGTACAGTCCATTTACCATCTACTGGACACAAAGCAGCTATTGGTGAAATAAAATGCTCAAAGTATTTTAGAAACAATTCAATTCACAATCATGAATAAAAATAAATGTTATCTATATCCCACCTTTCTTGTTGAATTCACATCATTGCAGTCAGTGGTAGGTGTAGACAGGGTGGTTGATGGAGTGGAAGTAGAGCTGGCAATAGCTGTAGTGCTGCCAAACCCTGGAGTGGTGCCAAACCCTGGAGTGGTGCCAAACCCTGGAGTGGTGAAACTTACGGCAGTGCTGGGTATCGGTGTTGTGGGACATAGTCTGGATTGCGTCTCAACTTTACAAGATGTATTGCAATATGCAACATAACACCAACCTAAGCCATCAGTGACTTTGTACACCAAGTCCCCTGTGAAAATAAGAGTCGAAATAAAAGTTTAGTGCACCAAATAAACTTTACTAATTAATTAAAAATATAATAAATGAGAGGATTTAGTGGGTGTTCAGACCAAAACCAACCCTGATTTAAAAAAAAGGCAATGAGCTGTGCTCAGGTGGCTCTCAATGTGAAAAGCATTTATTAAAGGAGTCTGAGACTGAACCAGGATTCATCTATTTTGTAAAGCCAACTCTGAGCTATTGTGAGCAGACCAAGCCTTGATTATTTCAAGCCCCAGTTTGTGCCTTCTGAAAGTCCAAAAAGGTTGTTCAGAAACACCTATCACTATTCTGGCCCGTTTGTGACTCTGTTTCCTATTCAGGTAGCTAGTGAGCTGCCATTTTCTTTAGATTTGAAACAGTGGCGCAACCTGGGGGACACAGAGCAGCACATAATACATATTAAATAGAGAGTAGATATTAGAACCAAAACAAACACTGTAACCCTAACCACAACAAAACAAAAGAGAATATTTGGCAGCCTGCTGTAGGTCAGCAGTGAGCTTAAACTCTGAGACAGAGATAAACAAAGTGAGGATAAACTTGTTGCAGTGCTATGCTAGTGCTACAAGTTATTGTATAAGTTGCAACATACCAATGAAAAACTTTTAAGTATCATATATGACTATGGCCAGGTCATCTATTGAAAAGACAACATTTTCTTTTCTCAACAATTGATTGTGTAACTCTTTCATTCAGTTACTGAACTGTAACTGAATGAAACCTGTTCACTCAATCTATTGCAGTGGTGTAAGCATATGTAAATGTAGCTTAGCTGAGTACATGCTGCACCAACCAACACTCAGCGGCAATTTACCGAATTTAAATGGATGGAGGATAATGGAAAACATGCGACTCTGATGATTTGCAGATATTTGTGAACTAATCATTATCTAATGGTTCATTAATGTAGTATCTCCTAGTCCGTTCTAGTCATCATTATCAACTACATAGTCTTGGATTCAAAGTTATTCAGGAACTAATTAAGACTCATTAATCCAAATTTGTTCCTCACACTTTACCAAATAACTGCTCACAATTTTGTGTACTGTATTATAACATGTTAGCCATCTAAGTTATTTTTTGAGAGATCATTTAATGCATGTGTGTTGTATGTATTTTGAAAATATATGTTGCATGTGCTGTATTAATGTATTCAGGATATTTCTGAAAATGAATGAAAAACAAGCTGCCGTAAAGTCTCCGGACAGTGTTAGCATGAACAGCAAAACAGGGGAAAACATGAATGCTGACAACAAGAGCAAATCATCATGTACCATTGCTTAGTGTTGGGCCTGAACATTATAAAGACTGTCTTAACAATTAAAAACTAAGTGTAACACGTTACACTTGTTCTGAGTATACCATCGAAAAATTACTTTTAGACATTTAAATGAGAACAATTTTTTGGGAAAAATTAATCTTAAAAAAGAAGTAAAAAGGTGCTGAAAATCATGATGAGGGAAAAATGATAATGTGAAAATGGAAAATGAAAAATCACCTACCAGGACGATGTGTAGTCCCATTGACAATGCAGACACATAATGTTGTAGTTGTGGTTAATGGAGGTGGTGTAGAAACAACTGTAGATCTGGCTGGTCTGGTAGTGTAAACAGTTGTGCTGCCTGGAAGTGTCTGTGTTATTGGGCCAATGGAAGTTGTACCTTTAAGTGTTGCTCCTGAAGTTACAGTTGACACCACAATAGTTGTTGTATTCAAAATAACAGGTTTTGTAATAACAGTTGATGTTTGTGGAATTTCTGTGACTACAACAACTGTTGTTTCTGGGATTTTTGTTGTTGTTTGTTCTGATGTAGTTGTTTCTGGAGGATTGGCTGTGGTTC